GGCTTCCGGAAACTATTTCCATCAGTAGGGGGCTGAGCCGCGAAATTCGTGAAGTGGCAGTGCTTTAGTACTCCAGTAGGTAGTAGACGACCAACATTCCGGTTGAAACTTTCAATGCTAAACTCAAGCACACTTACACTTTACACAAAGGCATGCTAATGGGATCTCTGCTTGGCCAGCTAATGTTGTGCTGTCCCATGGAGAGTGGGTCGGGTATAGACTTTCAAGAGAGCGCCATAGCTAGCGACAGACTTAGGCGCCTAGTAACATAATTGCGACGATAGAAGTTTCTCGTCGAGACTCCAGCTATTGATGGGTCCGACGATTTCGTGCTGGTAATATCTAAAGCAACGCCAAAGATTTACGTGAGGTCAAAGAAAAAAACTAGGTCTGAGGTGGAGGTTGCCATGCAAATGGGACTAGAGTGGGACTAGAATGGAGAGGGATAAAAACCCTGAGGAATATTTTACCAGTATGCATGACCTCGCGCACCTGTCTGCGCAATTTAAATTTTCTTTTTATGAATGGATACTCTGTACATCTTCTATTTGCTCCGTACGTTCGCTTCGGGAGCGACCAGCCTAGAACATGGAAGCTGTCTAATCAAAGCCGCCGTGACAAGCAACACACGTTAGAGGCCCAAATTGCAGAGACAGTGGCAGCAAATGAGCCTAACCGAGGTCGCCCAATACTGAACGGTCCAGCCCTAGCAGTTGTCTAGAGCACTAAATACTAGCGTGTATAGGCGTTAACATACACGACAGTGCTGACGAATGTATTAGGGACATATATAAATATATATTAAAAAACAATCCTGTTGGTTTTCCTATAATGTCGCGATTAGTATTATTAGCATCACTTATACAGCACCGAGATGCAATAATTATGTACCTGGTATGCCCGTATGTAGATATATACCAGATACCCAGATACCCACTACCATAGTCGCATTAGTAGACTTCGATTGCTCGATGTTCATCCGCAATTAAAATATCAATCACAGCTCTGGATAGCTTACGATGACAGTACGGATCGCTTACGATGACAATCTGGATCACTGTCGCTGATAGTCTAGATCACTTATGCTGACCGTCTGAATCGCTTGCGATTTGTTAAAGTTTGTAGCGCTTATAATTACCTGCATAAATGCAAATGCAAAGCAAATACACTGGCATGTACTTGTGTTCTCCTACTACAGCTCTTACTCGCTTCCCTCGTCGCTATCTTCCTCCCCGTTTTCCATTTCGCTTTCTTCCTCAATTCCATTCTTACTTTCGTCCTCGCCTTCCTCTTCACGCTCTGCGTCGGTACTCGCTTCACTCTCCGCATCAACTTCTTCGTCGCTTTCTTCATCGTCACCTCCTTTCAGCCGCTAGCCTCACATCCAAAGGTTAGAGCCCCATCCCGGCTCGAGGTTTTGAACTTCTTTGGCTGACGGCTATGGTTGTTCTGATGTAATGTGATGCATTTCTTGAACGACCTGTTGCACTTGTCGCAGTGACTGCCCCGATTATCAGTCCTTGCTCGTGCCTTCTTGGTTTTTGATTTTGTCCGGATTGTCAGAGCCGTACCGACCGTGGCTGCTGAGATGGCGCTGCGACGTGCTCAGTAAGGCGCAATGTTCACATATGAAGTATCTAAAAACAGCAGCCGCGGTGGAGTATGTATTCTGGCAAATTCTCGGACACGCACATAGCAGTGAAGGCTCAGATTGACTTCGTCAAATTCAGTACCGGCATGCACCTAGTCACCTCAGATCATAAGGGAAAGAAGTTTTCATCTATCGATATCAGGGTACGAGCCAAAACAGGACGTAAAATGCGTGTTTTAGGCTGAAGCGCAATATTCACAAAAGCTCGGACTATTCCCATCGCCAATATAGCTTCGTTTTTCTCAAACGATGCAAATCTAGATGAATGCCTTGACATGTTGTCATGGCAAACGAAATACTTTTGAGTTGATCTGGGCGCGATGGCCCCTGAAGGTCGCTTTTAGCTGTGGTTGACGGTTAAATATTCAACCAAGGTCCAAATGTGGCAGCGACAAATCCACACAGCCGTTCAGCCGTTCAACATTAAGATGAGCACGAATACTCTTCGCTCATTACATTATTGTTAATTGTCTCTCTGCTTATATATGTTGTTTAGCCACTTAACAAACAAGAAGTTAAACAACGGTGAAGATTTCGCGTGAGGATGGAGCTGAACGACGGCTAAAATGCTTACTATGTGAGCGACAGCGACGTCCCACTAGATACGACGGAGAAGAAGCGTACGTCGAGTTGTGTCCGCGCGAGAAGCGGCTGGGCTACAATTGTTAGCCTTAAGGACTGTGAATAGTCTCACAAAGTGTGTCTAATATTCTTATATTCATAGACGGTGTGATCAGTTTGAGGCAAATTTTGAAGTGAGAGCGTCTCCGCAGTGCGTCTGAGGCGGCTATACATTTATTTGTGGACTAGCGTCATCGTAAACAGATCACACCATCGTCCTTTCGTCCTTTCGTACTTGATAATGTTAGATAAAATCACTTTAGAAAGGATACTCTCTCATTTGGGAATACCTTTCGCTAAGCGGCTCAGCACACCCACTAAGTAATAGGGGGTAAATTTAGATCTCGAACACCGAGCTTCGCCCTTAGCTTAGCCAATTGGTTTGTATGGAAGCACCTTTGTCAAAATGTCTGCCGTCGTCTCTGTAGTTGTGCAATATGCTATTTTTTTACCACCCATTTAACGAGATCCCTCTTGAATAGAAAGCGCATTTAAATGTGCTTATTTGCTTTGAAAATTCCAGGGGGGGAGTGCAATGTGTGGTGTAGTAGAACACACAAATAACGTCAGATGTGGATTCCTTACACAAACCACAACGAATCGCCGAGTTAGGTCGGCGGTTGTATGACCTGCGCAGAGGGTGGTCCCCTCGCGGTCCGGCCCTTCCGGGACAGACGAGTGGCTCGCTTCCACTCGGTTCCGACTAACCAAGTCAGATCACTTCCGAGGCTCCGCCGAGTTTGGTTCGGCTGAGCTCGCTCACAACCCTGTGCCCTCCACCAAAGGATGGACGACGGCGCGCGAGCGCTTTTACAGGTCACCAAGCGCAGAGGCTGCTCAGCTAGAAGTGTTACGGCACCCGGGCTATGCGACGTACCGGCCCGCTGAGTATGCGGGACTTTCTTTCGCGCGTAGCGAGACTTTGTCCTACCCGGACCGACCTAATCTCTTGGCGCTACCAATCAATACCCTACAAGCTACGCCTCTCGAGTATTGACGGCAGGCATAATCCAGCCCTATGCAGGGACTTACCGGAAAAGTGTACACGTGTCTTGGACTAGGAAAATTCTGCTCTGTTATCTTCTGGGAGCCCTTTCGGCTCCTCCTATTTAATCCTATGCTTCTTTTACAAATATCTAGTGAAATGTAGTCGTTTCGGATCTCTACCGACCCTTCAGCTGGGTTCAGGCGACCGTTGAGCTCAGCGGCTATCCGGATAGCATATCCGGACAGATCGCCGAGTACTTACCGTGATCCTTTGTTTCTAAGCTCTGGGTTATCAGACCGAGCCGATTCTTGATCTAAAGTAGGTTGGCGTATGGTCGAATCTGAAAATCCCTACACCACAACTGCTCCGGCTATGATACGAGTCGAGCTGGAGAGTGTCTGAATCCTGCAGTTGAATCAGCCCCGTTCGCCCAGTACTCGGCTGATGACGTCTCGAGACTCTTCATCAACCTTCTTCGGTACGTTTGATGCTTCCGCTGTCACTCCCTTGGCAGCTCCTTACTCCTCGCATGTTACTCCAGCACAACTCGCGGCACCATCATTCTCATCCAACTCCTCGTCGAGGTGAAGGCGTGCCAGCTGAGTCGATTCTTCGACCCGTCGGTACTCGTGGAGTCAGCGACCGGCATGAAGCTGGGTTGGTCGACCTGACAACTTCCCATGAGTCTGACGCGGAGTCGGCGGGGTCTTCTCGCGTGCGCCCTCCTGGTCCACCGAGCTTGCCGGGCGACACCACTTCGGGCGCCACCAGTCAGTCAAGCTCGGCTGCTCCAGTGAGTCTTGACTTCCTCATGGCCCCGGTTAACGAGCAGGGGTACGAGCGCCAAGAAGAATTGACCTTCTTGGCGAGGCTCATGGCCTACGGATTTACTCGTTCCGTGAAGCCTTCCGATCCCGCGCAGCGGCGATCGATCTTGCATGCTGCTTCCGCGGGGGAACTGTTGGATATCTTGAAAGGCAACTACGCCGCTCTTGATTATCCCCAGATCATTGGCGATCTCCGAGCCGACAACCAAGCTGTTCAGGAGGAGAACCGCGCACTGGCTCGGCGACTGGACTCTCTTGCTCTCAGCAACGTCGCCTTGTCCACTCAGCTCTCATTGGCGCGACAGCAGGTGTCCTGATTGGAGGCTGCTGCCACGCAGTCTGCTAATCTTCTTGCTTCACTGCGAAAGGCTGTAGCTCTGAGTGAGGCAAAACTTGCTCGGGCTATCGCAGCTGAGCAGAGCAAGGTTGACGCTGCGTTGGGTCAGGCCCAGCTCCATCATCAGCAAGGCTTAGATCGAGACGCCGAGATCGACGTCCTTCTTTGATCCATTTCCGAGAGGATTGCGACGTTCGTCACTCTTCAGGGCATCGCTTCCAAGCATTTCGAGCAGCTGCAGGAATCGGTGCGGTTGTACAGCTCCACCGGCACTCAACCTTTGCGGCACGCTCAGTCGGTGATCGCTGAGCAGCGGGCTGTGATCTTGCGGCAGAAGCGGCTCATCCGTTGGAATGGCATTATTCCGATGCACGACCCTCACATGGCGGCTGCTGCTGGCAGTGGCTTGCAGGTTCCTGGACTTGATCCGTCCGACCTTCTCCTTAACGCCCGGCTGTGTCGTGTCTTGGAGTCTCGCTTCCCTGAGGTTCTTCACATTCCGGCCGGTGAAACTCGGCGGTTGGAGTTGATTGTCCTCCTCGTCGAGATGCTCCAGTGGCGAGTTCCACTGTTGGTCCTAGTTTGGGTCCCCCAGCTAGTCAGACTTCTTCTGTGACTTCATCGGCAGACTCGGCTGCGGCTCCTGTCAGCTCAGCGGCAGCTACGAGCCAACCCGAGCCGACCCTCGCCCAGCTTCATCGTACTCCTTTGGCGAGCTTGACTTCGACTCAGCGGCTTCGACGCTATGCCAACCTCAAGTCTCCCACTGCTGCGGGTCCTCGTCATCGTCCACCGGCGCCGCATCCACCTCAGCCGTACGCTTGTCCACTTCCCGGGGAGGATGGACACGAGGCTATCAGTGCTCTTTTGCGCTCAAGTTCTTCCTTCCTCCGATGGAGGAAGGCCCCGCTCTGAAAAGTCCCGTCGTCGGACTCGGCGGAAGAAGGTTCGCCACCTTCGGTTGAGTTCTGCTACACAGCCCGCTGTCTCTGCTCGCTCTGAAGACGACGATGACGCTTCGAGCGAAGCTGAATTCGAGTTTGAGTTGCCTGAGCCGCCCGCCGACACCGTTCCTGCGATTGATTCGACGACTTCGGCGGGTTCTTCGTCTTCCGGTCCTCTGTCGACTTCGTCAGTCGCGGTTACTCACCCACCGCCGGTATCTTCTTCCGATGTCGTGGCTTCGCTACCTGTCCTGGCTACAAGCGTTTGTGCCCCAGGCTCGACTTCGCCCATCTCCGCTGGGTTGCCCAAGTCAAGCGCACCGCTCAGCGTCGTTTCAACGATAGTTGGGCGCTCCCAGTCGTCATCTGGCCGACTCTCTCACGTCTCTCCTTCTCGGGGTCTGAGCGTATCCACTACGCCGACTGACCTAGTGACTCCGGCCGTGAGTGTCCTCAGGCCGTCTCTCCCTGCGAGCTCGGCCGTGTTGACGTCCCCGTCTGGGCGCCCCATCCGGAGATCTGCTGCGACCGCCCGCACTGTGACTGCTCAGCTGCTTGAGGACCTTGACGCATCTGACGACGAGGTTTTAGGGCCTGGTGACGGTTCTGCACCGTCCGCCGGCTCGACGAATCCTGCCGCTGGGTCGCTCTTGGATCCCATATCTTTATCCGAGAACTCGGCGGGTAGTCCTTCAGGTTCTGACTCAGCGGCCGAAGATGCTCGTCGTTCTGCCAAAGCGAGAAGCCTTCATGCGACAATCTTCGGCTCTGACGATGAGATGAGTGATGAGTCCTTGCCGCCGAGTAATCGCCACCCCTCGCGACATTCATCGATGGATTCTGGTGACGGGACGACTTCTACCTCTGCGTCGGCTTCGGGGAAGCAGCAGCGTCGCAAACGTCGTGCCTCGTCGAGTCCTACCGGTCACATGTCGAAGCGGTCCAAGAAGCACAAGAAGAACAAGAAGCATCACAAGAAGCACCTGCACCACAAGCATCGGCAGCCTCCGTCAACCCTTGATCCGGCTCCTGCCCAATCCATCCCGGCTGCTCCTTCGTACAGTATGCTCCCGGTAGTGTTGGTTCCCTCCCAGCCGAGTTCGACTGCATCATGTCCGGCTTCGGTCACTCTGCCCAGCGCTCTTACACTCCCGCTGGCTACGTTACGGACCCGGGCCTCGCAAGCAGTTTCCAAGGATTGTCGCTTGACTCTTCACATGGCTCAACTCCGCGAGGTACCATTTATGTATTTCGGCTCACGTTGTTGGAATGCGTTATTGGATACACTAAGCGGAGAGGTGCAGCTGGAGCTCGTAGGAGGCAAGCGTCGTGTGCCACCTACGCCGTCTTCTCTTGACGGCATTCGAGCTT